GATCAAAGGGTATGCAGTTTGATAGCCCTTTGGGCATGGTTCCAAATTGCTCTCCAGAATGGCTAGATCAGTTCACAACCCCACCAATAGGGCATTCGTGTCCCAGTTTCCCCACATTTCTCTAATATTTATGATTTTCTTTTTTTGTCATATTAGTCAATATGTGGTACCTCAGAGTTGGTCTAATTTGCATTTCTCTAATCAATACTGATTTAGAGCATTTTTTACATAACTACAGATAGCTTTGATTTCTTTGTCTGAAAACTGCCTGTTCATATCCTTTGATCATTTATCAACTGGGGAATGATTTGTATTCTTATAAATCTGACTCAGTTCTCTATATATTTGAGAAATGAGGCCTTTATCAGAGATACTTGTTGCAGATATCTTCCCCATTTCTCTGCCTTCCTTCTAATTTTGGTTGCATTAGTTTTGCTTGTACAAAAACTTTTTAATTCTACATAATCAAAATGATCTATTTTACATTTTGTAATGCTCTCCCCATGTCATTTGGTCCTAAGCTTGGATGGGAGAGACATTGTAGAACAAAAGAGGAGCGCTCAGCCTGGCTCTGGGGGGGAAGGCAGACAGGAGTCTCCCTATGCCAGGCCAATGCGCATCCCCAACATCTGAAGTCTCAGAGGTCCCAGAAGGGTGGGTTTGAGGGCAGGCGCCCTCAACTGGGGCCCTCTCCTTCCTCCCGTCTGCCTCCAGGCTTCCGTCTTCCACCATCTGTGAGAAGCCTTCCCAATCTGCCAAAATGCCAGCACCTTTTCTGATGCCACCTGTCTCCTCTTCACCACCTCATTTGTCGGAGTTGTTGGCACGCCATCTCCCCGTCAGACCAGGAGCTCTCTGAGGGCAGGGACCATTTGTCATTCTGCCCGGCACATAACAGATGCTTATGAATATTTGTTGACTGACTGCATGACTGGGGGCGATTACGAAGGGCCAGCATGGCTTTAAGAACAGGCCATACATATTATTATTATTAAATGCTGCTTTACCAATATAATCGCTTTCAGACCTCACAGCAACCCTGGGAGGTGGGTGCTGTTATGATCCCCATTTCACAGGGGAGGAAACTGAGGCAGGATCTGAACTCAGGTCTTTCTGACCCCAGTCCACTGCGCCACCAGCTCCCTCTGGTGGGAGGCACCTTCCTTGCCTGGCAGGTTGGTTAAATTTGCAGATCGGGGCATGGTGCCGGCAGTGACCCCCCAGATTCTGGCAGGACAGAGGCAGGGATGTGGATCAGCGGAGAAGCCAGCATGGATGTGGAGAGGGCAGCACAGAGCCAGGGCCGGTGTAGCCGGCCTCGGGAAGGGCCCCAGGCCGAGCATTCTACCAGGGACTGGCAGGAAGACACCAAGCATGCAGAGGACATGGATGACCGAAACGACAAGCCAGGTGGGGGTCATCAAGTCTCACCGTTGGGCTCAAAGGACGACAAGGTGGGGCGGCATGGCGGCCCAGAGGTGGGTACAATGCGTGGGCTGAGTTAGTGGGATGGCACAGGCCCCAGGAGCCTCCGCACAAGGCTCAGTTCTAGGAAACACACCGAGGAGCTGAGAGCAGGCTGTTTCCGAGCTGAACCTGGCTCCCAGCTGGTTTGTCCTCTCTTGTCTAGACTTCTGTTACAAAGGACAGCCGGCTGGGGGGGACAAACGGGAGGGGTGGGGAGGGGGGGAGGGGCATCTCAGAAGCAGGGGTGATGTTAAACAAAGGAAGGCAGAGTCAGCGTTTAAACCAACCTGAAGACAACAGCCACGCACTGACACCAAGAGCCGCCATTTCTATGGCGCCCCAGGTTGGCAGAGAGGACCTCCTCCGGGCCTACCCACAGCCCAGAGCGTAAGGGACGCGACCAGAGTCCAAGGCTGTCCTGACTCAAGGCCCAGCCCGCTGTGCGCAGACAGTGGGCGCCCATCCACGGGTGACCAGGGGAGGCCAATGACCGGCTGTCAGGCCTGGGGGAGGAAGGGCTCCTTCGTGTCCCGGACCAAAAGGGCAGCGTAGGGCACTCCCACCAGAGGCACCCAGAGGTGGAGAGGTGGACAGAGCAGCGGGCCTGGAGTCAGAAAGACCTGGGTTCAAATCCTGCCTCAGACACTCTAGCTCTCTGATTCTGGGCAAGTCACTCAACCTACCCTCTGCCTGCCTCGATTTCCTCAACTGTAAAATGGGGATCATAAGAGCAGGGCAGTTGCGAGATCACACTGGTCAAGCCCCCGGCAGCGCTGAACACATTACTGTTTGCCTGGCTTCCTTCCCCTGCTGCCAGCCTTGAAGGAAGTCCCACACGGGCAGCCCCTTCCCCTCCACCTGCCCTTCCCCGGGGAGGCAGGCTGGGCAGACCTCCAGAAGGGGCTGGTATACGGGGCACCGCTGCCTGCCTAGGTGTTCTTGGGCTTCTACTCCTCTCCCCCTCGCCCCCTTTTCGGGGGCTCACTTTCTGCCTTTACAGAATGGGGGGAGGGGGCAAACAAAATTGCCATCCAAGTCCAGAAATGTCCAGGTGGTATGAGTCAAAATTTGGAGGCAGCCAGAGAGGGGATCATTTCCGTTTCTGCAGGGTTTATTTCAGAGGGACGGCTCTCTCCCTAGCCATCAACAATTGTGAAGTCCACCTTGGAAACACAACTTAAGAAATGAAGAGGGGAAGGCACCCCCTTCCCCAACCACAAACCAAACTCAGCATTGTTAGCACCTGGCTCTGGGTGGGGCAGGAGGGAGCCCCCCCCATCCTGGGTGAGGCAGGAAGAACTGTCTCTTGCACTCAGGCCAGGGGCAGAGGGAGAAATGTGCCCCCCCAAACAACCAGAAACAGGGAGACCCTGTGTAAGGTGGTTTTCCTGTGGTGCCATCCGACCTCTTACCCGAGATGTGGCACCCACCAGCACCCATCCCCCTCCCTCAGAGCCCTCATGCCCTCCACTCCCACCCCCAGCCCAAACCACACTCTTGGGTCACTTCTAGCCCAACCACGGTCCTATGGGCCCCACAGAAATCCAGCCACTGGCTGGAAGATTCTCAGCCCGGCTCCAGGTACAATCGGCTCCATCCTGCCCTGGGGGCCACCCCTCACAAACCCAAACTGTGGCCCTGTTGGGAATCACGGGGAATTGGTGCTTCACGGGCACCCTGGTGGGTTCCAACTACTGAAATATCTAAATGTTAGACGGCGCAGTAAGAGGCAAACGCCGTGTAACTTTAAAGCTGAGACCATTTGACAGCAAACGCTGAAAAGTGAAAGAAATCTGTTCAACGAAACAAGCCAAGTGAAGAAGCAGTTATTAAGCACCTACTATGTGCTTACTCAGCGCTGGAGAGTCAAGGAAAGACAAAAGCCAGCCCTGACCTCAGGAAGCTCCCAGACCAAGGAGACAGAACATGGGAACAACTCCGTACCCACCAGCTCTGGACGGAGAGACAGGATCACCACCAGCGGCAAGGCCCTCGCACCAAGGGCTGGCAAAGCTCTCCTGGAGAAGGAGGAATTTTGGCTGGCCCATGAAGACAGCCAGAGAAAAGAGACCAGAGCCCAGAGATGGAGGGAGGGCCAGGAGGCCGGGCTCACTGGGGAGGTGGGGAGAAAACTGGGAAAGGAGAAGGGGCTTTGAATGCCACGCACAGGGAGAGGTCAGTAGGATGGGGAGGGCAGAGGGATTGGGCGGGAGGGTGCCAGGTCGGGGGACACAAGAGGAGATCACAGAGCGGCTCACCAGATTTGTGGAGGGGCCATGAAGAGCAAAATGGGTCAGTACACGGGGTTCTTAACCTCTTTATTTCAGGGTCTGGTGACGCCTACAGACTCCTCAGAAAAGTGTTTTAAGTCTAAAACAAAGTCCACAGGCTTCCAAAGAAAACCAGTGCTGGTGAAACAAGATTTGCTTCTTCCAGATGGGGTCTGGGGGCTGCAGGTTAGGAGTCCACCCCGGGCTCACAGCATTTGGGAGGAATCAGTATGTGATGGCCAGCGGTTATTGAGAGAGGCCATCATGGCAGCAGGGGAGGACAGGGAGCCAGGGGCAGGGGGGGGGGGGGGGGGGGGGGGGCGAGGCCCAGCGGGAAAGGGAATGGTCCAGGCGAGGGGCCCAAGGGCTTGAGCCAGGGTGGCAGCCATGAGAAGTGAGAGTTGTGAACACACCTCATGCTGGCTCCCAGCTGACATCACGCAGGACCGAAGGCCAGAGGGCAGGTCAGGGGAGGGGCATGCTCACACACAGCTCCAGAGATGCCCGGGGGAGACGCCCACTGGGGAATCTCTTCAAACTGTCTCTTCCCCAAGCCAAGGGGTGCAGGGGGTGTTGGCACAGTGCCAACACTACTGCTTGTGCCAGGAAATGCCTGGGGTGGTTTTCACGACAGGCAGTAACATCCTGGGACACTCCTGGCATCATGACCCAGGGAGGATGGACATTACTTAGAGCTTTAAAACCTTCGCTTCCTTCAAGGCCCAGTTCAGGGGTCCCCTACAGGAAGCTGCAAGAGCCTCCCTATGGCAATGCTCCTGTCTGCACACTGCAGCAGAGGGGCATGGCGGCCAGGACACGCGCTGCTGGGGGACCTCAGGCCAGTGACTCGGCACCTCTGGGCAGCCAAGACCAGAAGCTGAAGGAAAGGGGCCAGCCTGCCTTGGTAAAGGGAGTTTCCTTGGCTGGGAGGGGCCAAAACCAATAAAAGGCCAGGCTGGGCCTGGCCCTCTGCAGCACGGAGTTGGGTGGGAAGCCTTGTGTCTTTCTGCCACGCAGGAGGCAGTGTGGCCCAATGGGTACAAAACCTGCGTCCAGAAGTCAGACAGGCCTGGTGGTACTGTCCCTGGGGCTCACCGCCTGCTTGACCCCTTACAAATCGGCCTGATGTTCTGTCCAGCTTTCCAAATCTGCTCCAACAAGCAGTCCATGCCCCACGTGCCATGAGCCCACACAGTAACAGTTGGACTGAAAATGGAGCCTCACGTTGACCCAGTAACACGGTTAGAATTCAATGAAGAGAAGGGCTGCTTTTCACATTTATTAATAGATTCAAGTATTCACATTGCAGAGTTAACAGTTTAAATTATCAACCAAGACGTGATTCACTCACCCACATTTAACATAGAAAATGAAAAATCCTTTAACAGCAGAACATGTTTCAAGTATGACACTGTATTACAACAAAGAAACCCCGTCAAAGCGCAGGCTCCCCAGGCCTCCTCACCCTCTGTCTGACGCTCTGGAGCGATACCAGCCCCAAGACGCACGTGGTTCGTCCTCTCCGCACCGAGAGCCCTGGCCGCCCCTCTAAAACACGTACTTCATGTGCTTGATGCCGTATGTCTTGAAGAAGACCATGAGGATGAGGGCCCAAAGCCCCAGGATGAAGCCTCCCGGCGGGTGCCACTCCTTTGGCTTGGGTTTCTGCAAAGCAGGACGACAGCGTTACATTTCACAAGGGGGACATCGGACGACCATTAAACTGACAGGAGCTGGGCTGATTTTTCAAGGGCAAGCATTTGCCTTCTAAGACTGGGATTTAATCAAGCCAGAGGAGCACAAAGAGGCCAGCCCGACTCCCGCAGACACTCAGACCCAAGGGCTGCCCACCCACCCTCATG